CGGCGGGCCGGGAGGGCCGCGGCTGGGCCGCGGCTGGGCCCGGCGGGCCCGCGCGGTGGAGCTGCGGTGGAGACGGCTGCGGCGACACGTGGCAGCCCGGGAGTGGCTGCGGGCGGCGGCGCGGGATGTCCGGCGGGCGCCGGACATGTCCGGAGGCGGCGAGGGAGATTTGCTAGGGTTAGGGGTGGAATGACCCGGAAATTTCGGGGGAGGTCTAGATTTATAGGTAGGGGGAGCTAGGAGAGTCCAAATGAGGTGCGGTTTTCGGCCACGCGATCGTGATCGAACGACCGAGAGCATGGAGGGGAGTTTGCTGGGTTTTGGTCCACTTTGGAAGGGGTGTTGGGCTGCAAGACAAAAGAGGCTTTACGGTTACCCGGTTAACCGTTGGAGTATCAAACGACCTCCAAATGGCACGAAACTTGACAAGCGGTCTACCGGTGCTATAACAAGGCCGCTTGGCAAACCTCGGGCCATTCCGAGAAAGTTTAACACCCGCTCACAACGAAAGACCAAAGGGGAACGCCGGATGACATAGGAGTGCCGGATTGCAAAACGGACAACGGGGAAAATGGTCGGATGCATGAGATGAACACGTATGCAAAATGAAATGCACATGATGACATGATATGAAATGCAGATGATGACATGGCAAAGTGCAACACGCAAGCACATGACATGGCAACGACGACGAATAACTGGAAGACACCTGGCGCATCGAATCCGGGGCGTTACACACAATGACATTAACATGCTGCAAGGGTCTCCACTGTTTGCAAGAGTGTGTGCGGGAGAATCTCCCTCCGTCCCTCGTGACACTATAACATCAATGGTCATCACTAAGACATGTGCTATTATCTTTGTGATAGTATATATCCTTCACGAGCGACCTTCATCAAGACCATCCCTGATCCAAGGGGGAGAAAAGACCTCACTTTGCCCAAAGACAAGGAGCTAGAAAGAATGTCGAGCGGTCATTTGGAGTGTTCCAAGCCCGTTTTGCGATTGTTCGAGGACCTGCAAGACTATGGGATGCAGAGACATTGTGGGAGATGGTGAAAGCTTGTGTGATCATGCACAACATGATTATACGAAGCACGAAGGTGACGGAGTTTGCCACGGTCTGGAATTTGAGCACATGGGTGATCATATCCAATTTCTAAAGCAGAATCCAGCTACGTTTGAGGATTTTATCCAAGTGTGCGAGCAACTAATGAGTAGTTTCGAAATGATCTGGTTGAGCATTTATGGGGGCTTCGAGTGGAGAACCAAAAAAAAATTCGAATAAGTTGAATTCAAATTTAAACTATTTATCTATTAAACTTCGTGTTTGAATCATAGTATTTTATACTCCCATCTTTCAGCTTTATAGGGCTTAATTCAAAAATCTCACCAACCAAGATAGGTGGTGAGTGATGGAATATTTTATGATTTGCAAAAGTACTCAATTAAGGTGCTCGTTTTTCTCAAAAAATATGTTTACCAATGCATTAATTGCATTGCATGCATGCTTGACTAAAAAATAACCAGGAGCTTGTATATGCATTGTTGAGTTTTCTGTTGATCTTCGCATGAGGTGATTTAATGCACCTTGATATCTGAGCGTGTGATGAAGAGCAATAAAAATGAGACTTATATAATGAGAAAACGAAAATTTTGATACAAGACCTGTAAACCGGAAAGGAGGTAGCATTTGAATTATTGTTGCATTGGAATATTTGCATGACATGATTATAGCTGAAGGACTTTTTTATTTATAAAAATAGTGCTTTGGATATTAAAAAAACAAAGATGAAAAAAAAAGAAACGGACACTTGATGCGCTGCGTTGAATGGCCGCCTCCTTAACCGTTGTCCACGAGCATGTTTGGACATATCCATAGAAATTTCGTGTGTTGCACAACTTTGGAGTTGCCCTTACCAACTCCGTACGAGGGGAACCTGCAAAGAAACGAGTAGAAAGAACGTGAGTCGGCGAATAAGGAGTGACAAAAAGCATGAATTGACTCCCGAAGCCGCTATTAATTGACAGCAGGAGCAAGGAGCCAACGCAACGACACGTACGTGACTTTGACTCAAGTTGACCACACACACACTGTGATGGCGCCACTCAGATCACTAGTTTTGCTCGTGGCGTACGCCGTACTCGTGGCGGCGGTGCTGCAAGCATCGGAAACGAGAGTACAGGCGGCTACCTCCTCGCCTTCTTCACCGTTCACCGCCGGTGACCCGCCACAGCCCTCCCTCCCGGGCTCGCCGCCTCTACCAGGCTCGCCCGCGTTCCCGCCGTCGCCCGGCTTCCCGGGCATGGCAGGCGCGCAGCCGTCTACGTCGCCTTCGCTGCACCCGGCCAGAACATGCATGGAGCCGCTGATACTGGTGGAACCGTGCGCCAGCTACCTGACGAACTCCAGCGTGCGGGCGCCGCCCAGAGCGTGCTGCGACGGCCTCAGGTCGCTCGTCGGCGGCGGCGACAGGATTTGCCTGTGCCACGCCATCATGGGCGACCTGGGTATATTTGCAGGCGGGACGATAGACCAGCTACGCATGCTCGTGCTGCCTCTAACGTGCACCACGTTCATACCGCCGGACCTTCTTCTGATGTGCCTCGGCAAGTCTGAATCGTTGCTTTGTTTTATTTTTATTTTTTTCGAAACGGATTTTGTTTTATTTTTATTAACTGTATGAACTTACGAGATGAACTGTCATGTGTTTGCAGTTAACCCTGTCCCGCCGATTCTGTAAGGCGCGGGGTGCTCCGGGCGGCAGCTGCTACTACTTCTACATGCTATCCCTTTTTCTTTTCTTTTTTCCCCTTGTGCTACATACTCCACCGGTCACTGGGCACCACACCGGTCATTGTTGTACTAGTTGGCAGCCCTGTTCGCAGACGTGTGGCCACACACTTATCTTGTAACACAGCCGATATCGTTGAATAAGAAATAGAGAGATAACCACTGTTTATTTCGCACTGTTCTTTTGCCTTCATTTTATCGCACGTTCATCCGCACTTTGCAAACGGTTGAGAGAGAGAACGACGGCGTGACGGCGATTTCCACGGCGGCCGGCGGGGAGAACATCAACACAGGAAAAAGGCGAGGAAATCACCGTCGGCGAAAAGTGCTCGGGCAGCACATGGTGAGTCAAGCAACTGCGTCACTCCGGCGAACCAATACTGCAATGGAGGCAGCGTCTCCTCCCGACATTTGCAAATGTTTAGACGGTGGCACCGTGCTCGGAGAACAACGTAGGCATCGTCGCGGTGCGCATTCGCCTCGCCCTTGCGGGAGCCACGGTGCGCGGCAAGACCTTGTCGTGGCCACTCCGCAACGACTCGACTCCTCAGGTCAAGGCGGCAGGGCACGACGTGGGCGCCAAGGCGCGAGATGTCGGCGGCATCGCATGGCCCAGCGGGGGCTGCAGGCGTTGCGTCGGCAGCAAACGGCTGCTGGATCCGAGACGCGGCGGCCCGCCCTCCCGACGGTGGGTGGCAGCGACATCCGCCTGTATAGCCGCTGGGCGCGGCTGGCTGCTCGGCATAGTGGCGGCTGGTTGCGAGTCGGAGCGGTGCGGCGGCGGTTGGGTCGGGAGGATCCCTAATCGCACCGTGACTCCCCGTGATTTTCTCCGACGTCCCGTTCTCCGCCCAATGCGCTGCCCCGACGCCACGCTGCTCCGGCCTAGGGAAGCTGCACGCGGCAACTCCCAGTTTCTACTACCTTGAGAGCACCTCTACCACAACCTGCTGGAGGCGCCATTGAAGCCTGGAAGCTCGTTCGTGTCTCCATGAAGGCCGAAACGTTTTTTGCTTAGAGCATCTCCAACAGGCGCGACAAAAGGCGCGCGCGGTAAATTGACCTTTTAGCGCGCGCGGCGCGCTCCAGCGGTGGCGGCAAACTAGCACACGCGGGAAACGATTGCGCACGCGGGGGAAAAGGCTGCAGCTCGCGCGCTAGATTTGGGGCGCCGCTTCGTGCGCGCCTATAAAATTGCAGCGCCCTTTGCCGCTCTCTCTCGCTCTCTCCACTGCTTTCTCTCCTCGCCGCCGACACGCCACCACCGCGCCACCATGCCGCCTCGCCGCCGGAGAGGTTCGGGCTACCACGGTGTCCGTGTGCGTCCGTCCGGCACCTATTCCGCCTCGATTCAGTCGGGCGGCGGCGTGAGCCTCGGCCTCGGAACCTTCGACACCGCCCAGGATGGCGCCCGCGCGTACGCCGCTGCGGCGTGGCGCCTCCGGCGGTCCCGTTGGGACATGAACTTCACCGACGTGGCGACGCGGGAGCGGACACAGGAGTTGGCGCCTTTCCCGCGGCTTAACACTAACGAGGATCGTCGCAAACACCGGAGGCGGGAGCGCCGTCTTAGCCTGGCCGAGATGGACGAGGAAGCCATGACGTTGTAGAGGCAACGCTTCCCGCAAGACATCATCAACGAGGAACAGTTCTTCGCCGAGAGGAGGGCGGAGAGGGAGGAGAGAAGGAAGGAGCGAGCCGCCTATCGCGAGGACAAGCGAACGCGGAAGGCGGTCGCTAAATACAACATGGCGCTAGGAGATGCGTCGTCCTGTGACTCCCGCGATGAGCGGTTCCTTGAGGCCTATGCTCAGATGTCGGAGGAGGACATCACCGAGGCAGAGTCCGAGTCGAAGAACGAGTAGTAGTAGTTAGTTTTATTTTGTATCGTAGAAGCAGGCTATGTGGACGTAATAGAACTATACATCGTTGGAGAAGCCTAGATGTACGCATTTTGTATCGTAGAAGCAAGCTATGTGCCGAACTATCTTCATATTTGTATGCTATGTATGTAATCGTCTGAAGAAAAAAAAGAAATATAGCGCGCCTGCTGGAGCGGCTCGGGCGCGCTTTATTTTGCGGCGGCCGTTGGAGCCAGCGTAGCGCCGCGTGCAAAACCTGGCTCACGCGGCGCGGTATTCTCATTTTTAACGCGTCGCGTGTTGCGCGTCTGTTGGAGATGCTCTTACTAGACGTACCTCGGGGAGAAAAGAGATTCTACCATGCATGGGAGATCCCGTGCATGGCTCAGCTGTGCATTCTCTTAGGCCCCTCCCAATGCTCCATCTTGTACATGTGCTAAAGTTGCCAACTAAGCAAAAAATCTGATGTGGCATGCTAGTTAAGAAGAGAGAGTACTAGTATGGTGACCCTAGAAAGAAACGGTGCTAAGCACGTGTACCTAGGTGGAAGCATAATTCCGAGTCTACAACTAATTAAATGCATGAAGCTTAGCATCCAAAAATTTAACACCTTTGCATTAGGGATTTGAGTTGCTAAGACATTTAATATACTTAGCACCTCATCTAAGCACCTTTGCATTGGAGGAGGTCTTAGGGATTAGGATGCACCCATGTTGGCCCCCACCCAAGCCATTCTATTGTATAGTTTCATGTTTCAGCAATGTGTCACATCAATCATTCATAAATTATGCCATACTTTCACCACCAGCAACCTCTCTTCTATATGCCTGACATACATTAGTACTTCACCCATCCATACTTTTTCATATAATTTCAAAGCTTCAATCTATTTTATTTTTTGAATCACAATCCCAATTTATGACCCGTTTACATATTTGGGTTCCTTGCGATTAGGACTTTGAAACAAGACCACTTTTGAATATATTTTGAGATGTTTTAAAGTTTGTATTTCAAAACATGATGAAACTCTATAAAACATAATGATGCAATCTAGAACACGAAAAACCTAATAAGACCTAATAAGTTTTAAGTGTATTGACACTGAATGAAACATTGTGATACGACCTCGAACAGATGAACCACAGTGAAATAGTATGAGTGTTTTTCCCTTTGAAACATAATAGTAAAATATTTGGATTTTTTGGTACATTTATATTGTAATGCATGTGTTTATGGAAGGAGACAGTAGATGAATAATGCACCGTACAAGTGTGATGATGACACACATATATGTAACATTTTTTTGCGAAATATATGTAGCATTTCTGACACAACACTCAGTGAATATGAGAGTATAGATATTAAGAAATAATAGCAAACATCTTAGTGAATAAATTGGCATGGATCCCACACAAAGCATTAACTGCTCAGCCAGCATGGTAGAAAAGCCGGTCTTGGACCTCGTGCCTCTTTTTCTTTAGCACGTATCTGTAAGATCTCAGATAAAATATGTCTCTTCTCTTTCGTAACAACATCTAAGAATGTTTGATATTTTTCAGATAATACCTATAACTTATTTGTTATGAATATTGTTTTTGGATGTATTTAAATGTTTATTGATAACATTTTATGTAAACATATATTGATTATTTTGATGCTCATGTTAAAGGGTCCATGTTCGAGTTTCGCTCCAAGCCCCCGAAATCTCATGATCGGGCCTGCCTGAGAGCAAGTATAATACTACAGTCAGACTATAAGAATTATATTATTATATTTGTGCTGAGTTGAATGAGAGAGAAGATGAGAGAGAAGTGAAGCAAGCTATATATTAACAGTGGGCTGCAACACGGACTCCAAAAAATATTGTGAGAGTGAATGATGGCCATGCATTAATAAAGTAGAACTATTTTTTTGCGGATAAAAAAAGTACTACTTTTTTTATGCATGATCCATCTATACATGTTGACTAAATGTGACATGACAACTCCATATAGCCCGTTTTTGACTACAATATTGATGCCACCCCCACTCCTCTCCGCCCGTCGCCATCCGCCTGGAATTTGCGGAGAACAAGATGGTGAATCCCCCATAAAAATGTCAATTCTAAGTCTGGACCTACGCACTAACTCCATCCCTAGATTTCAGCATCACCCCCCTCGTGATTTTACAATCCTCCCCTTGATTTATCATTGCGTAGAAGGAAATCCCATGGTTCAATATAAGTATTTTTATCTTATCTATAGCTAATTTCTTCATGGAAATATTTAATAAAATAGTGTTCATCTGATGCTTTTATTTTGATCTTTCTAAAGGGATCACTTGAATTGGCAATTCTTCTGTTCATGTAGATAACCAAGTTCAGCAAATGTGTTTTTGTTGCCACATAGCTGGAGTCTGCAGCATTCCAAAATGATTGTTATGCATATTTGCCTACGCCTTATATAGTGACGTTCATTTCTTTGATGATCAGTACAAAACTAAACTCCTTAAGAACCTTCAAAATATTTTTTTATTAAAAGAGGGAGTTTCCCGCGATTTCATTAACGAAACCAAAAGATCCAGTAGCCTACATCATCATACGCTGTCTAGACAGCCCGAGTCCAGTTCACGTCATCAGCAGCACTGCAGCAGATGCCACAAGCGGCAAGAAGGGAGACGCAGCCCCAGAAGGAATCTACTATCCGCTAAGTATGAGAAGAGCGCATTAAAGCAAGAAAGTAAGGAATCTAGCGATCCTAGCCCGATTCGCCGAAGTTGCAGCTTCAGTCACCCAACCTGAGCATGCCCGGTCTCTAGCCTTGCGAAGGTAGATACACTTCACTTGCCACCTGCTCGATTAGTTTTGCTCCCAAGCTCAGAAAGGTCTTGATCTGGGTTTTTTGTCCGCAAAATAGACCAATCAACAATCCAGGTGGCCATCAGCCTCACCAGAATCATATGATCATTAAAAAATTTGCTCTAAAATAACATCATTTCTGCATTTCCAAATGGCCTAAAACAAGGCACATAACCCAACTAGGTTAGTTTTTTTCTTCTGGTTCCTGAAATGTTTTGAGCCAGACATTTAAACAATCATCCAAACTTCCAG